CTTTAAGCTGTTATGTTAAACAAATTAATGAAAATTTATGAAATTATCTAATTTTAATTAAAAATACTTAAATTTTAGATACAAAGATCGAAATATGGACAGATTTAGATGAACAAATATACCATAAAATATATGATTGAGATTCGAAATCCCCATAAAAAATATAGAAGTCGGACGAAGGCAAAATCCCCCTTTGACGTCCAAACCATAAATGAAATAAAATGATATTTCTTCGATAAGAAGTGTGCACGGGGAGAAGAAAGCCGCTTTATTCGGGGGCGAGCAAGCACGGTGGACGATGGTCAGGCGGGTTCGGACGGATTCTGAAGCGTAGAATCTAAGCGAATCTCCCCAAGTACTCCATCAAGTTTAGGATGATATTGTCGTAGAGCCTACCATATGTCACTTCTCTATGCCTGTAGCTCATATCTCACGACAGATGAATCCATGAGAGATGCAAGAGATAATATGTTCCTAATTGTATTGTATACTTACGTATTTTAATTTGTATAATATATCTACACAGAATCTAAAAAGAAATCTATTAATTTCTTTTATAAAACAACTAAATAATTACTTTATTAATATTAAACATTTTTTAGTTAACATGATTTTGTGCGTGCGCGCGTGCGCGCGCGTGTGTGTGTGTGTGTGTGTGTGTGAAATATAATATGGATATATATTATGGATATAAAATATTAATAATAAAATAATGAATTAAAAGAAAAATATTTGAGAAAAATATTTGTGCAGGTGAAGACTATTTGTAAAATATAAATAAACGTACAAAAACATACAAACTGTGGGTGATGCTTATTGAGCTTGCTTATATTAAAAACTGTCTTAATTATGTTAAAGAATTATACATATGCATTATTAAATTCCTAGTGACACATTCAATTCGATCTTCACATCTGCTGTTTTTCACAATGATACATAACACAGATAGTTTCCATATGTGCGCATTATGTTTAATTAATTATACGCCAAAAGAAACCAATATGAACTAATCTTTCGGTGGCATCTGTACAATATACACCTCAAAAATAAGAATCGTATTAGTATTAGTACAAAACCGTTTTTTCAATTCGAGAGTATCTGTGATTCATTTCTAGATAACCCTTTTTAATTAAGGTAAAATTCTTAATGCAAATGTCTCCACTAAAAATAATTATCACATTGCTACAACCTTCGCCATATTTAAAACAACAGGTGTCTTTCTATTGATCTGAAAAATACACTAATATTGTTTGTATAATTAAGATAATTACTTTGGTCGCTTTTTTATATTACGAAATTATTTTAGCTATACGCACACAACAACACACACACACACACACACACACACACACACACACAATTTTTGATAAGAGAAAGAGATTTAAGAAATGAAAATTTAAATTATATATCAATAAAGATAGAAGTACATATAATTATTTCAAACTCAGTAGCAAGTCGTTTTTTAAAAACTTTAGGGATATCTTTTTTTTTATATTCGCGAAGACTGACGCTATTGCGATCGTTTATCTAATGATGATAAAAATCTTTATTGCACTGGCCGATCCTTCAATTTTCGGAAACTCGCTAAGGTCGTACATTCTCGCGGACTCGGACGGTCCATTGGATTATTATTATCGTCATTCCAGCGAACTTCTCGCGAGAGTGCCGGATATCATATTATCCGCGGCGTGACCTATCCCCATCCATTATTCTTTATCTCGCAGAGATATAAAAGAAATGCATTACTTATATCAAGATTGCTGGCCATTCCTCCTACGCGATTCTTTTTACTGTTCTCCTTTTCGCGTGACCAATATCGGATGATACGTACGAAGCACTTTATCAATTTCGGTCGTCCATTTGGCATACGCGCTTTATGCTTCCGTTTCGTATACAGCGAAACTATTTTATTTGTGGTTTTAATATCGCGTAGTAATATTACACGTCATGCATCGTAATACATCAACGCATCAACCAAAAAAAACAAATGCTCTCTTTTATCGTAGAAATACTAATACTTGAAATGATATATTTCAACATTATGTAGAAAATTAAAAATTTTTAACGTGTTTTTTTTTTATATTAAAATTTATTTTCGAGTAATAAATTTATTTTCGCGACATTTCCGAATTGTCATTTTTAATATTTTCCGTGAACTGCGTAATAAGCAGAAAAAGATACATAGATATGCGTAACAATATTATCACATACAAATACAACATTGGATGGAATAATGTTGGCATTATACGAGTAGAATATTTCGTTGTTGACTGCTCAGTTTCACTTCCATAATTCGTTGTTTATCAGAGAACGACGATTGAATTGTCAATGTTCTTCAAAGGAAACGGAACCATTTCCGGTAGTCCGTCTTATTGTCGTTGATGAAGAACATGTGGATCTAATGCATAAACCGTGTCGCAGTCATTGTACTTCTACCACTTGGTTTCTTTAATGCGATGTTTCCCGTCTATACTCTTTTATAGAACCGTACATCCGCGACACGCCGGATATTCCGGACAAATTGAGCGCTACTTTGAAGATTTTCACTTCAATAACGTCATAATTGGATTTTACACTATTTATATATATTATACTATTACACTATTTATATTGTATATTATTCTTCGTCACATACTTTTGTTCCTTAATGTTTGCTCTTTAATAATTCTTAAACGTTAGATACAATTTATCAAAAATAATAAAAAAGTACAATTTTGCTTTTTATAAAAATATTTTGACAAATTTCTAAAACTTAATTTTATACTTTTCTTCCTCAAAAATTTAGTTAATTATTCTTAAGTTATTATAAAATTTTTTTTTTACTTTTGATTAGTACACTTTCGTGTCTTATATAGCGCGCATTAATACCGGTACGCAAACAGCCTAAGAGCCACTTCCTGTTTAGCGCGTACAACTTCACCTGTCCTGCTGTAAAGTCTACGAGTTCGCTGCGAAATTCTTAT